ATACAAACAAACAGCCAAAAGATTTCCTTGAATTTATAAGCAGACTTAGGGCTGTATTTGAGTAACTATCCCTGAGACAAAATAGACATATTATACTAAAAATTTACTATCACCTTCCTACATTAGACAATTGTTGTATTACAGCCCTGATGCTCTCAGGAATATATCTATCTATTTTGGTTTCACCAAATTTTAAATATGTATTTCAGTGAGTGGGGGTTTTGTATGGTCTGCCTCAGAGGAATGAATTATTATGAATGAATTATCATATAAGAGTTATGAAAATAAGGCTGATTCTTTTATGATAAGTGTTGTTGAAGAGGTGATGATGAAGACCATATATCTGTAGGTGCTAAGTACTACAGATATCTAACTCCGTGATCAGTTTAACCTTCACCTTCTGAGCTGAAGATAACAAAAAGACATGAAGGTTATGGTACCATCTGAACTAACCTATAAGGTAAATACACCTCCATAATATTATGAAAATGAAGAATATAGGTTAATTCAAATTTTCCCGTTTCAGGTCTGAGGGAGGGGGGTTTGTTTGTTTGTTTGTTTTATATATATGCTTTAACATTGGTCCTGCAAGCAAGCCTCCTCAGGAAATTTGAGTATTGCCTGTACTTCTCCCCTGGAGCACTTAGATCTGAAAGAGTACATCTGGGACAGCATCAGGTATCCATTACACATCTTGTGTGTAGGCTTGCTCCTAAATCAGGATTTTTACCTGGCTGGTAGTTCATCTTCTTTTAATATTAGGAATTGGAACTCTGGAAACATTGGATTTACACTTGTCTTTGTAGCCATTTATCCAGCCAGTCATTCACCCAGCCAGCCTCATGGAAGAATGACTGCTTCATCTGGGAAAGAAAAACTGCATATGGTAAATATCCCACCACAGCTATGAATCTGGTATTTCCTAAAATAGGAGCAATTGGATTTGATTTGGAACAGTATTCATTATCTGTTTATCTAAATTTAATTTAATTTATTTTATTTTTTGGTGCTACTGTGTATGCCCAATTCAGTAGACTGCTTCTGTTAAAAAAAAAAAAAAGACAAAGTGAGTATTTTATTATGACCATCCTTCATCAACAGGATTTATCAGCACAATTCAAAGCCTGAATTGTCAGGATCTGCAGCACAGGTTACTCTTTCTGGTGAGGCAAGATCAGCAGATAACATGGAAAGGCTTTTGCAGAGGGGAGAACAGGATTGGTAGATAACACAGGAATGATGTTTTCCAAAGAAGGAGAAATTTTAGGTCCAAGGATGTATGGAGGAGCCAGGATATGAGGACGCAGCACCTCCTGCTAGCTCCACCACACACAATGTAACTTCCCCTCGGATGCCTGATGCTCATACCACAACGTGTGTTGCTGCATTAGTGGTAGAGTCCACTCATGTGGCCGTGGGCTTTGGCTGATGACCTTTACTCACAACCACACCTAAGAGAAGTGAAGTAGCAATTTAAAATCCCTTTTATAGCCCTGTCATGGGGTTTTGCTGGAGGACGCTGGGACCAGAGAGATCCTCCCTGCCAAATATCAAAGACCTGTGACAAAAAGTAATAGAAAGTCTGTTCAAAGACATAGCTGCAGACAATAGCAACAGAGATTGGTAAGCAACCTAAATATATTCACTGCTACAACTTTATCCAGTGAAATACATGAAGAATACCTTTAGCTACAGTGTAGTCTTGTTTTCCCTGGAACGGCTCACAGTCAAGCAGCATTCACAATCACTGGTACAAGTGTCAGGGCATGAAAAATAGTGCTTACACTAGTCAAGGACTTTTTAGTTTTCCATGCTCTACCCACTGAGAAGGCTGGAGGTGCACAAGGAGCTGGGAGGGGGCACAGCCAGGACAGCTGACCCAAACTGGCCAAAGGGATATTCCATACCATGTGACATCATGTTCAGTACATAAACTGGGGAAAGCTGGCCGGGGGTGGGGGGAGGCGACCGCTGCTCAGGGACTGGCTGGGCATTGGTCGGCGGGTGGTGAGCAACTGCATTGTGCATCACTTATTTTGTATATTCTATTATTATTATTATTACTA